ACCTTGTTTCTTGCTTTTCCCCTTCCTTTTGACGCGCAATTCATTTTAACTGTTCGCGTTTTAATCTCTAGAAAAAAATTTATTTTGTGCATATCAAGAATACCGCTGGCGAACTTTTTTAAAAGGAATTTTCTGTACCATAAAATATCTTTACCAAACGATATAAAAAAAAAAAACTGTGAGTATTTTTATTTTGCATCTTGCATCCGAAGGAAGGAAGGTCGTCTTCTTAACGCTGTTGTGTTAACGTTCCCAACTGCTTCCTATCGCTTATCTTTATACCTTCCCTTTCGCTTCACATTTTGTGCGGTTATCCCACTCGCATATTTTATTTTATTTTGCATAAACTTTATTTGCCCTTTCCTTTATGACACATTTTTGCGACCGCATGGTTTGTTTAACAACCACCATTTTGTAACCATACAAAAAAAAAAAAAAAAACTTTACTAATATTTCACCAAATTTATTCAGTAAATTATGAACCTACATTCAGAACGTGCTTCTTCCGCCTCCTTGTCGTCTTCGACTTCCTCATCTACTTCCTTGTCTTCCACCTCCTCAACAAATATTAAAACCTTCACTAAAAGTAGTGGTGAAGCCTCTAGTAAAACCAGGACCCTATCAATATCCTTGGATAAAGCTAAATTTAAGGGTTCAAAATCCAAATCTTCCCCAACTTCCCCAACAAAATCTTCATTTTCTACGATAAAGAAATTTACACAACGTAGAAAATCCGATTCCGCGACTTCAAAATCAAAGTTACCAAAATCATTGAAACGTCCCATCTCTCTGGCCACAAATAAAACTGCTGCTGAAAATTCTGAATCTTCGGCAGTGGAAAAAAATTATAATCATAAAAAGTCGGCAAATAAATCCTTCTTTTCTTCAAAGAGGAAATCTTTCGTGAGCAAAGAGGAACAACTTCCCGTCTCTACTGCCACCGTTGCTCCCGCGCCTGCCCTAGCGACAGATTTGTCCAGAGAACCTTCTTCACAATCTTCCAGTAAATCAGTTTCTCCGACGAAAATGCAATCTCCAACAACAACAACGACAACGACCGTTACCACTACCACCACCACCACGACAACGACAATTTCCGCTAATACGACGGCCAATACAACTTCACCCAACTCAAATGCGACCAACACAACCTCACCCACATCTGAAAACACAACTAATAATAATAATATGGATATCACCACCTTTCTTGCTGCGCCACGCTTGACCCAGCGTGTTAGGCTGAGTTCCGGAAGGGTTGTAAGCTTTTCAGAAGTTGGTGATAGAAATGGGTATCCCGTCTTCGTATTCTTGGGAATGGGTTGTGTGCGTTATTTTATTGCCTTCTTTGATGACTTGGCCACAAGTTATAATTTAAGATTAATATGCCCTGACCGTCCTGGTATCGGTTTGTCTGACGATGTCAAAGCTGAAGAGCAACAAGTATTAAAATGGCCTGGTAATTATTATTATTTTTTGATTTCCCACCCCCTATTTTTTTTTTTTAAAAAAAAAAAATTATTTATTTATATTACCCTTTACTAATTTAAACGTTTCTCCATTTTGATATAATAGATGTTATAGAGGAACTTTGTGATATTATGGAAATACCAAAATTTTTCATTATGGCTCATAGTGCAGGAGCTCCATATGCTCTTGCATGTGCAATGAAAATACCTCAAAGATTACAGGGTACAATTTATTTAGTGTCACCTTGGGTTAGCACGACAGTAGCTAATAATTTTAAATGGTTACAATATGTACCTACACCAATTATGAAACTTACAAATTCAGCTGGTATATCATTACAGCAGATGATACATGGACGACAACCTTATTCAATTAAGCCACAATCACATAGGAATTCTGGAGCCTTGGCGACTCCAATGTCAACCGTCGAGAAAAAGCAACAACTTGGTTTGGCCATCCTTAAAGCTTCATTCGCTGAAAATTTGGCTGGGGCGAACAACGACTTGTTGATGTGCTTTGAAAGAAAGCGTACATTTGGATTTTCGTACACGGATGTAAATCACCCTGTGCACGTCTTTCATGGTACAAAAGATGATCGGATCCCCACATCAGCTGTGAAGTGGATGGAGGGAAACATGCCAAATTGTAAATTAACTATGATCGAAGGGGGTAAACATTCGTTGTTTTTAAGAGCCGAAGTTGTAGATTCAATATTCAAATCCATAGCGGTACAATTGCATGATAAGACAAGTTGTAAATTATGTAAATTACTTTCAAAATGTTGGTTAATAGAAGAAGCCGATAATTTACGTAAGGAAAGAGAATTAGAAATTCAACGTAAAGTAGTGGAAAAGTTTAAGAACAGTGTCAAAAGAAAGCAAGTTCACGACACAAACATGATGAAAACCGGTACTTCAAGTATTTTGGATCATCAACATTCTCCTACTGATCAACTTTCTGTATATACTTATATCTAAACTTTTTTGTTTGAAGTTTTATATTTTTATATTCATTTCATATCACCATATTATTTATTATCATTACCATCCAACTTTTTTTTTAAGGAGTTAAGAGAAAAAAAAAACTTTTTCTCAAACATCTCATTTATCCTGTATACTATATTTATTTTTCACACGTACATTTTTATAGCATCAATTTTCTTTTTGCATCTTTAAGCTTTATTTGGGAACCCTTTTGAGGGTTGTTGTATATGATTATTATTATTTTTTTTTTTTAAAAATGGAAAAAGGGATTGTTTATTACGGGGGACAAAAAATTAACATTTTCTTGTCAATTATGATAAATAACAAATATTTTTTACTATTTTTGTATATAACATTTTGTTTTTTTAAAAAAAAAAACCCGCATCAAAAAAAAAAAAAAAAAATTATATTTATTTATTATTTTATGGAAACAGAAAAATTAATTCTGTAATTGTTAGAAAAAAAAATATATTTCTTTTTTTTTATCATTTTTATTTTAATTAAAGTTTCAAAAAAAAAAAACCTTTTATATTTTATATATAATATAATATTTAATCTTTTATTTTTATTTTTTTATTTTTTTTTATTTTTTCAATTTTTTCGGTGGATTTTTTTTTTTTTTAAAAAAAAAAAAATCTTCAATAATTAATGTAATTTGGATATGAATTAAATAAAATTAAAATTAAAAATAATAAAAAAAAAAAAAAGGTTTTTTTTTTTTTTCATTATCGCCATTGTCACAATCAAACAATTAAACAACTAAAATAAAAAATCCAGGGGTGCCCATTCCAACCTTTGACGCGTTAACTAAATTCAATCACGAGAACAATGTCAAATGACATTTGGACAAGAAAAAAGGTTAAACCCAAACAAAAGATTAAAGAAAAAAAAAACAAAAAGGGAAGTGATTTCATTCGTCAGATGCAATTCATTGTTTCATGAGGGAGGAATTACATAATTACATAATGAATTTAGTTGCCTCACTGTACCTACCTCGGTTTAGCGTGTAGAAGTTTAACCTTAAAATCCTTAAAAATCCCAAATTGCTTAGTAAATTAATAAATTTACCTTGGTAATGTAATATAATTTGAAACTAAATTTGAAACGTGGTGGACTAGACATTTATTAATGAAACCGGTTAAGGTTGAGGTTTAGTCGCGTAATCGATTACTAAAATTTTTTTTTTTTTTTTTTGTATCGTTCTTTTTTTAACCTTGAGATTATCTGTTTATAACATAAGGGTTTTTCTATACAAAGTAACCATTGACAAAAAGATGCACTCAGGGGGATAAGGGTTAGTTGATCTAAAGGTGTTTATGGAACATCATCAAGAAGAAAAGAATTAATCAACGAAAAAGTTCCAATTCATGTGCGAAAACAAAAAAAAAAAAAAAAAAAAATCATTCTGTAAGATTTACATGTGGCGCCTCGTAAAACGGGAATTTTAACGGAGTTTGATTACAAATGTAAACAATGAGGCAACCTTTTCATTATTTTTATAATTTCCCCTTAAATTTCCCTTATATAGTCACATTAATTATAGTAATCAGAAAATGGCTTGGTGTCATTTACGGAGTTTTCCATTAATTTTTAATTTAATTTGTACAAGTTATGGTAATTTTCCCGAAGTTTGAGACGCAGCTTTGTTAGCAATGAAAAAAAAAACTTTGTAAATTTTTACGCACGCGTCTTTGAATCACTATGTGCCTGTTAAAAGATTTTTGTCAATTTATTAGAATTTTTTTTTTTTTGGTACCTTACTCGAGGGACATTTTTGTTTGATTTTTAATCAAAAGGTTGATAATTAATATAAACAAATAATAGATAAATACATTATATACAAGAAAAAAGAGAGAAGAAGGATCAAATTAAATCCCGAATCAGATAGGAAAAAAAAAAAATTAAAAAAAAAAAAAACGGATAATGTAATGAATGAAAAAAAATTAAAATATATAAGGTGGGATTAATGATTATATGAGAGGAAATAATTAAATTTTTTTGTTTTTTTTTTTTGTTTTTTTTTTTTTTTTTTGAAAGAAAAATATAAATTTCTTTTTGTTTACTGTAATATGAAAATATAACTAAATAAAATAGTAATATAATAATAATAGTAATAATAATAATAATAAATAAATAAATCCCAAATCACTCTAAAGTACTCTTAATAATAATATCCCTTTCAAATTATCGTTCATAAATTATACAAAAAAACCGAGAACACATATATCAAAATTTTTTATCATACATGCAAGGAATGTTATTGAGAAAATGATTTTTGTTAAATTTTTTTTTTTTGTGAACATGTGCATGAGAGAGGGAATGTGTTTTTATATATACAAATTAGTTTTAAAATTAGGAATAATTTTTGAATTAAAAAATTTTATGCAATAAGGGGGGGGGGGGAATGTACTTTTTGATAATGTGTTCTATGATTTTTTGTAGTGTTTTTTTTTTTTCTTTTTTTTTTTGTTGTGTTTGTGATTTTCTAAAATTTTTTTGTTTGTAATTTTTATTGTGATCCATCAATCATTAAGCGTAAAAAATAATTCGTTAAGTCGTCAATGAAGCATTTGCATTAGCGGTATTAGCATTAGGAAGCCTGTTTAGAAATTCAAGCAATCCAGGAGCAAATTTAGCCGCAGATGCCGAAGAAGCAGCTCTTTTAGGACGATTTGCGCCTTTTTTGCTAACCGAGATGCTTCTATTGTTACTGCGATTTCGTTGTAAAAGATGATTAAACTTTGTGAATTTTTCAGCAATCACATTGCCAGAATTAATAACGAAAGTGGACTTTTGGGATCCTTTTTGTGGGAAACCATGGGAGTTTCTTTCATGTTCGGCATTGTTGGTGAAAGTAACGGTTGTGGCAATGGTGTTGCTGTTTTCATTGCTGATTTCGTCTACGGTAAATTCACTAGCACTCTCGTTAATAGTACTAATTGAATGATGAATGTTGATAACGTTATCATTATGATTACTGTTGTTTGTCGAGTTTTTTCGAATGATGATACTACTAGTTCTTCGTGGAACTTGTAATGTTTGTTCGTTAGTTTGGATAGACTCAGATGCAACCGCTGTCGATTCATTGGAATCATCAACGATTGTGCTATGTTCCCTTTGCTCAGCTCGAGCGAATCGGTTCAAGGAAGGAGGCTCTGGTGGATTGTTATCTTCGAGGGGTTTACCACGATAAGTCTTATTGGCGAAATGGAGAAAAGCTGCTTGGTTACTTTGGCTAATATGACAAGGTAGTGGTATCGTTTCCATGCTCTCCACGATTGATTCGATCATTATAGGAATGCAAAGTTGAATGCTCTCCTTATTCTTGTTGGCCATTTGAATGGAGATGATGAGTTGATGTCTAATTTCAACATTGTACAAATCATAATCCCTGACAAAAGGTTCGGTGATTGGCAATTGGAAAGTCATTGGTCGACTTTGAAGTTTCAAAGGTTCTTTTCTAGGCATATCGAATCGGAAAGGTCCCGAAATAACTTTTGTTTTACGATCAGAAGATGATTCCTGACCTTCGACCGCTTGCAAACTTGTAAAACTTTCGGTTTGAACAAACAAAAATGTAACATTATCGACACGGAGACCATCCCATCGAGCGTGAAACGTGAGAACATCAGTGTTTAACCTCAAGATTTTTGGTAAAAGGAACTCAAAGTCAAGAATTTTATCTCGGGAACCAGTGTATCTTGTAGCATCAAGTCCTTGTTTGACGTCATCATCGCTTTGGAGCATGGATCGTTGAACAAACAAATCCACCACATCCACGACTTTATTTCGAGTATGTAAATCTCCTAATCCTCGAGCTACGATTTCAGCCTTTAAAAAGTATTCGCATAAGACCAGATCGGAACTCATTGATTCGGGTAAATCTCCGGGCAGACTAAATTCGAAGTAGAACTCATGCACACCCGGATTAAGAGTACGTTTATTTGCCAATAATATGCAAGTGGAAAACAAAGTTCCTTGAAGTGGGATCTCATCAGATGCAAAAGTGGGGGCGTTCTCATTTGCAATGTGAAATTCTCCTGCAAGAGTTATCATAATTTCCTAAATAGAAACAAAGAAACGTACATCAGCATATGTAGCATACATACATGCCATGTGCTCTGATACAAAGCGCGCACTCACAGAGAACGCACAAGCAGCAACACACACAAAGAGCGTATCGTACAGTCTTCACTTCATTTTAAAAAAGAACAATAAAAAAAGCATACTTTAACATTTAACTTTCCAGCCACTTCTAGCCTCACTTTACCCCTCACCGTCCTCGACTTATGTTTGTTGGGTGAACCATAGAATATGACTCTATTCTTTTCGAGTATTATCTCAAAGTCAACAATGACTTGACCAACTCGTAACAGTTTTAAGTTTCGTTTAAAAATTTCGTATGGTATACTTGAGTCAAACTCTAAGAGAGATGCTGCGCCGCCAATATTGTGTTGTGTGGGCATGATAAGGTTTATGTGGTGTTTTATTTTTTTTATCAAAAAAAATACAGAGTTAAGAGGAGGAAAAAAGTTCTCGAGACGGCGAAAGGGGTGTTATCTATTAGTGAGACTAAAATCGAAAGTAAAAAAAAAAAAAAATTTTTTTTTTTTAGGTGGAGATTTTTGTAAGAACAAGGAAAAAAAAAAAAAATGAAGATAAATATAAAAAAAAAATCATTTCTTAATAATAGAAAATTTAATTACCTTTGTACACACTATACACACTATGCAGATTGTTAGTTTAGACAATAAAAAAATTTTTTTTAAATTGTTTGTCCCTTGCATTCTTTCATGGGACTATTTATGTAAAATTAAAAAAATGAAGTTACCATATTCTTATAATACATTGTAGATGATGGAAATATTTTTTTTTTTTTTTTTTTTTTTATTGAGAGGGCGGTAAAAACAAAATCACAAATTTGAAAGGAAATTGTTATTTGTCGCACAACCCTTTGAAAATTGCCGGCTTTAGTCGTGAAGGCGGCCGAACTAATTGATTAAGATTTATTATTAGAATGAAATCTATGATATTTATAAAAAAAAAACCTTTCACGAAAAAAAAAAAATTAAACTTGATAAATCCTTATACAGCATTAAAAGTTGCACGTCTTTACCTAAAAAACCAACAAATTGATCAATTTCGGGTTAGATTGTTCCTCCTGAAAACCTAAAAAAAATTTAACACCTACGATGTCATATGATCATATCAAAGTAAATAAAAGACAAATATTTACTCCTTTTGGACTTTGTTTGACAATTTGGGAATAGACATATGTACAGTTTTACATTGCGTGAAATCGATCTTTTATTATATTTGTATTAGAAGTGAATTTAAAATAGTAATTAAATGGGTGCGAGTTAATATCTCACATTATGGTAAAATTGAATTGATAAAATACACACCAAATGTACCAATTAAGATCACCTAATCATTCTAATTAAGCTTAAATTGTTTATACATTCATTGTTTCAATTGTTGGAATTTTGCGAGGAAGAAATTTGTTCAACGTATTGTCTATTTCTCTTGACGATCTTTTGATAAATCCTCCATTTTTTATATATTAAAACACCGATACTAGCAAGGATGATAAAACTTATCAAGCCACCAATACTGGCACCTAAGATGAGAGCCATGTTTTGTGTGAATAAACTTTCGCTTAATGGCGTCGTGGAAGGAACCTCCTGTAATCCCCGTGTGGCGTCTGGAGTTTGATTCGATTTTATATGCGATGATGACCAACGGAAATTTGTGACGTTCAAGATGTAAAATGAATTCGTTATGCCTGCCGTATGTGTCGTTATGTTCCCAAATGCGATGATCATGTGATTTTGGACGAAAGCCGCCGAATGAAATGAGCGAGACGGTGGTGAACCCTTCGTGACATTTGGTGTTTTCCATTGATAAGGTGTTTGGTTGACATCAAGAATCGCTAGGTCAGGTGTTGCGGGAGTCGCTGGATCTTCACTCGTCCCTCCGTATACGATAATTCTGTTATTTGAAGTTAAAACTGCCGAATGTCCAATACGTGAATTGGGAGCATCACCACCGGCATTCTTCGGGATTAAGTGATGTTAATATGCCATATACAAATACATGTACGCCTACATTTTTAAAAGGTGTAACACTTACGATGACAATCCAACTGGATGACTTTGTATTGAAGACATAAATCTAAAAAATAACAATTTTAAAATGAGCGAAAATTTTTTTAAAAATCGCTTCAACGGGAATAATTAACGTATGCTTACCACATTCATCTTGGATAAAGTGAAGGACACGTCGCTTGGAGAAGTGGATTGTCGCCCACCAATATAAACGATTTCGCCACTCGATAACATGGTAGCGGTGAAATCAGCCATATACGGCGGAACGATGATCTTTTTCGAACCCAGAATCATCATATTTTGCCAAGTTAGTTCATTGGTGTTCAAAACGTTCATATCATTAAACCATTTAACACTTTTAGTAATTTCGCCAGTTGATCCACCAAAAATGTATAAATAGTCATTCTTATTGTCAGGAACCATTTGAAAATGTTGTCGCCTTTCTGGGGGGATTCCTTTTATCTTTGGTGCACTCCATTTTTGTGCATTGATGTCAAATGAATAAATTAATGAACTATCATTTGTTTCTTTGCTAATTGAGTCCAACATGATTCCACCAAAAATGTAAATCTTCTTCCCCCCTTCCGCTAAAGATGATGATGACCAACAATTCCTTACCGGCAGGCTTGTCGATTCTTCTAGTTTCAATTCAACTATTGATGATGTCTTTAGTGAATTGGATAAATCTAGATAAAACATATCATTTTGACAATTCCATGATCCATCGGGATCTTGACCCCACCCTCCCATGAAATACAACCTATTCTCAACCAATACACTTGACGTTGCATATCTAGCACTTGGAATATATTGAGAGTCACATATTATTGAAATACTTAAGACATGAAATATTATTATTATTGTTATTATTTTTGATTTCATTAATTTAAGTGACATTCTCTCTTTTATTATTATAATTACTTTATTATATTAGAATTAAAGAAAAAAAAAAGGAGTGTGATATATATATATTTTTTTTTTAAAAAAAAATTAAAAAAAATTATGATGAAAAAAAAAGAATTATTTTTGTTGAGAATTATTATATTATTTATATATTTTTAAAACTTTTTCTCATCATTGTTTAACGCAAAATTAATATTTTATACCCAATTTGTATTTCTGAAGTTTTTTTATTTCCTATATTTCTATTGTACTACAATCATTTATCAATTTTGGAATTTCTATGTAAAAACGAAAGTTCTTGCATAATAAAAATTTCCAAAGGGAACCAATGGTGAAAAACGAGTCGTGTGTAAATAACGGTAGCAGTTACACGCGGACTTTTTTCTGGAAAATTATTTTCCTTTCTTATATTTAGAATAATTGATCGACAACAAATTTTGGATTGTTTTAAAAAATCTTTCTCTCGTTTTTTATGTCCCTGGGTAATAATATTAAAACAAGGAACGTATGAGAGATTGTTTAATTATTCGTGAAACAAAATGTACAAAGAATTAATTTCTTTTTTTTTTTTAAAAAAAAAAATCGTCCAAACTTATTAATGTTTTTCGTACGTCTTTTTTCTGGCGACTTACAACATGGCTACAAAGAATGACATTGGTGGTACACGTTCCAAATATCATAGAATGGTTCACCCCTTGAATTTGATTGAATACATCTCAAAATTCGTAAATGACATTGTATTCATTGTATTCAAAATTAATACCTTGTGAGAAATGATCTAGCCATTTAGATGACTTTTTAAATATTTCATTAAATAAATGAAATCTATTTTAAAAATTTAAACGTTGCATTTAAAATGTGAGCTGGAATATTGGAAAGGGCCGTTTATTATGCAATTTGAATTGATTGCATTCTAATAAAAAATAATTTACTTCCCTGCAAAGAATTTGAAATTTAATTCAGACGAATCATAAGAATTGAATTCGATTTTTTTTTTTTCCGTCAGTTGAATCGTAATATACAATCACTTAGTATACGATACAAGAATTTTGTACCAACTTACGTAATACATAATATTAGCATTTCTTTCTTTCATAAACTCCTATGTACGTCGATTACACCTAACTTACTGTATTTCATGAATACTTGTAAAGTGTCACGTTTAATCACCATAGTACGCTTATGTGAGCAATGAAACCCTTCAGTAATGAGAGAAAGTGACTTTTGTGGCATACGATTCGTCCAAGTTGTAAAAAATCTCTCTAATACGGCCGGAGATAATTCTGATCTCAATTCACCTTCATAACGTACGTGTAACCGATAAACATTTTTAGACGAATAAGATGCAAAGTAATCTAATAAATCGTCTTCATTTAAGTAATCACCACCGCAATAGACTATAATTTCTTCCAATTGTTGGCAATTGATCAAAAGAGTTTTCAAAGATTCTAATCCGGTGGGGTTGCTCCTAAATCTGGCATATATTGATCTAAGATTTGGACAAAATCTAGCTATTGCTAAAATTAAAGACTCATCAGATTCGTAGGTATGTAAGAATTGTAAATTCTTCCCATTATTTTCCAAGAATTTAGTTGATGGTAAATTGCAACCATCCAAGTTTAAGCTTTGTAATCGTGGATATGTGACATCTGGTAATACCGTGGGTGTGCCGATACGTAAAACGGTGAGTTCTTGCAAGTTGGTAAATGCCGCAATAGATGACATTGGATAACTGACATAGGCTTCGTAAATATTTAATTTGATGATGGTGTTTGAATGCTTTGCCAAGGAAGGTATAAGAATTTCGACATTGGCTTCGGTATTATTTCTTATCGTGAAACTTTTTAAATTCCTTTGCGCAATAATTAACTCTTTTAAACCACCCGAAATCGATTTCTCAAGTGATATCTCAAGTGATTGTATAGTTGAACACACTTGGGTTAACTGATAAAAGAATTCCGAGGGAATTCCTGAATTACAGGATAATATTGAAAGGTCCGTTAAACGATCCATGGCTTCGGGAAAAGCAATATTGGAAATGTATTTTTCCCCACCCATTGAAGACCCGCAATACGTCAATTCCTTTATATGAAAAGTTTGTTTAAAGAACTCTTTCAATATCTCTTGCGATACTAGCCGAATATTGTTGATCAAGTCTTGTTCTTGTTGTAAGGTACCTTGTGATGGACTTGAGAGAACATCAATGAGTAATTGATCGAGACTTTTAATGGAGAGAATCTTACAGTATGATAAATAATTAAAACGTGGCGGTTTTGATGTTGGAGTTGGGATAAGAATATTTTTCTCATGTAAAAGGTCCTTCGACTCTTTAGGAAGGCACGCCACTAAGATACTAAGGTATCGTGATGAAAATCTAAATTTAGGATAATAATTCAAAAAATCCCTCCATAAAATTCTAACAGAGACTTCAGACCAAAATCTACTAACTAGTAAACATGAATGTAAGGATCTTTTGTCTAAATTTTCAAAAATATCGTCAATGCAATCAATGGGAAGTCGAAAAGGCATTTTTAGATAGTACACTAGTGTTTATGTGTTACAAAAAAAAACTTCGTATTCCTTAATAAATTCTCTGTTTTTTTTTTGTACGATAATAAGAGTGATTTTTTTACCCCAACATGAGAATTTCTTCCGACTCTTTGATTCTATACTGCTAAGTTCTGCACATAAACTGGTCATAAGACATTTGGTGGTAGTCTTATGATCCTTTGGCCTAACCTTGATTCGGTGGTCGGAATTAACTCTTGCATAATTCCGACCGGAATAATATATTTTTCATTATACAACTTTAACGATTTC